ATGTGCTGCCCAGTCAAAGCCTAAGGACACACAGGGTTACCCTATGTTGGCTCTGCTTTTTAAAATTTAGACATGCCCAAACCAACCATCGTTTATATAACATACATAACCCACACACAAGTTGCTCTCTGTTACTCTATAAATATCTTCCCTCTAGTTTAGTTAAGCTGCATATCTCAATCGAAGTCTCCACTGCTCCAGGCTGTCAAGCTCATGTTCATGTCTGAAACGTCCTCACTTATACCTGTGCCTCGCTCAGGCCAAGCTCCAACATTTCCAGTGACTTTCGGATCATGTTTGATTTCTCCTCCACCAGATTACTTTCATCATCTTTCTTCAAACACTTCAGTGTCTCCAGTAAACTTTGTAAAATGGAATTATGCTCATTCTTCAGAGCTTCCAGCCCCTGAATTACTTGCTTTGTCTTAGAAATAATTTCATCCTGCGTAAGCTTCTCCAGTTTGTCTTCCTTTACGTACACCATTGTGGACATGTTGTCATACATTCTAGAATAGAAAAAGAAAAAAAATTAGACATCCCATTATGGGTTTAATTTACATTACATCTTCAATAAAATACACATGTGAAGACTTTTAAATTAACATTTTTATAGGTGAATAATATGTGTATTTGATTTATTACCTTGGCATACTATATTCTGTACTGTTTCTATTTTTCCTTTGCAGTCCAATTTAATTACTTTTCTGGCTTATGTCTGAGTATTTTTTATGGAGGAAATGAGAGCAACTGAAATTAATGCCAAAGATTAAAAGCAGCAAAACACCCAAATGGCATTTCCAAAATACACACACAGCCTCAGTGCACTAGATTTTCTCTGAATGTTTGCAAGCTGTTTTTTTTCCCCTGAATGAACTAACCACAGAAGGAACAGTAAATTCTTGGTAACATATTTACCAGACAAAGCCTTGAAACGTGGTCACAGCTGGAAGGAGAAAGACAACCAGCAAAGGAGCACAGGAACAATCAGAGCGGCGAGAGGACGACTAGCTCCGTCTGAAACACGGAAGAGAGTGACATGAGCAGGACGACCAGTGCTGTGACGACTCCAGGGGACGGGGGCCACGCACGCCCAATGGTCAGACCAGCTGAGAGGGCACAAGAGGGAACCACAGTGTCTGGAACTGACTTCTTAACACTACAGTGAGAAAGGCAAGGGTTGGGGGCATGTAAAACACCAGCAAAACGGCGACGACTGCTGACACCAAGCAGTAGTTCCTACTATCCCTCTAGTTCTGTATGTTTTAAATCCCATAGGTAAGTTGGGGAAAAAAGGCCACGAACCATGACCATTAAGAAAGCCCGCTCAGGAGTGACGCGAAGTCAGATTATACTCGTATGTCAAGGTCATTTCGTTCAGAGCACCTCCACTACCTGAAAGCGCTTTTGTTCCCGCGTGCTGTCTTACACTCCCTGAATACAAGCTCTCCTGAAAAGCGGGACTTTCTTGTGGTGTTTTACTGAGTGGGCAGCTATGCACCCCACTGCCAGCTCCTGGGGGGCAGGCCCTCGCGTCCTCTGACTATTACACAGTCAATGCTCCACGCACGTTTGCTGATGGGAGGACCAGCGTCCACGAGCAGGAGTCAACACTAAAATGCTGATCTGAGCACTGCCTACAGTTCCTACAAGTGACGAGGAAGGACCTCCAGAGCAGGGGTCCCTAGCAAAAGGAGGAAAATGAAAAGGAAGGCCTCCTCTCCACCTCTGATAGTAAAGTACTTGTACATTACTTCCAAATGACACCACGGCTGAGTGGCGCATTGGTTAGGAGTTGGTTTGGGACNAAAAAAAAAAAAAAGTTAACTAAACCAGAAATAAATGATGAATAATCAAGACTGAAATAAACTTCCAAAAAGAGCCAACAGAAAAAGGGAAAACCTGAGCTCCTTGGGGAACCCTAACATTCCAGGAACCACAAGATAAGCTGACAAGACAGGCCAAGGAGGAGGCATGAACAAGGAGCAGGAGACCCCGCTGGTGTGCTGGGGGCAGGGAAGGGTTTCAAAGACAGAGTCAAGACCGACAGCACCATAAGCTACAGTTAGCCCTGTGTCTGGATTACAGATGATCGGATCGGGTCACTGCTGACCTGAAGTAAGGGTTGCAGCAGCAGGACGGGCATGGAAGCCAGACTGCGTTGGGTTAGGACGTTCAGACTTCAAGCTGGGGCAGACCTCCACCTCTCTGCCCTGCAGTTTATATTTACAAAGTATTTTTACATTTTCTGACCATTGTTCTAAAAAACACATATGAAAAGAATACAGCAAAGAGAACATGGGTGACTCGCCCAGGGCCTCAGTCCCAAGACCACAATCCTTGATCTTGCTAAATGCAGTCGCTGGAGGGGACAGGAAAACACGGACTGCTTTACTGAAACAACCTCCTGGCTGCTCCGTGTAACTGTCAGTGCCGCACTCCTACACAACTACTTACGGATGGAGACATGTCGTCGTCATATTTTTTTAGCTGGTTCATGAATTCCAGATGTTTCTTTTCTTCCTCCAGCTGAGCCACCGACTGCTCGCTCTTCTGTAGCTTCTGCTGCGTGTTGGCCAGTTCGTCCCGCAGCCACTGGTTCTCCTGGCACAGGCGACGGACCTGCGCACGCAGCTTCTGCTTCTCCGACTCCACGGCGTTCAGGTGGTTGGACAAAGCCATCATGACCTAGACAGACAGGAGCGTTTAGCGCAGCAGCATCTTGTCCGACCATGTGCAAGCGTGCTGTGCTTGTAGCTTACACCTGCAGACACAGTCTCCAAAGCACGGAAGGACAATCTGCCACTTACTGCTACTTCAACTCTCCAGGCACAGGTCAGCACGGGCGTAATAAAAAATAGCACATGCTATGTGACAACATGAATGGACCTGGAGGGTACTGTGCTGAGTGAAAAACCATATTTCCCCATGTATAAGACACGCCCTTTTTCGAAAAATTTGGAGTCTAAAAACTGGGTGCGTCTTATACAGTGGTTGTACGAGTGCAAAAAAACAAGCGTGAAAAAGGCGGGAAATACCAAGTAAAAAAATCTACAACCACTGTATAAGACACACCCAGTTTTTAGACCCCAAATTTTTCGAAAAGGGGTGCATCTTATACATGGGGAAATACGTACGTCAGATGGAGGACAGACACAATGTGATCTCACTTATATGTGGAATGTAAAGAACAGTATAAACGAACAAACAAAACAGAAATAGA